AATTCAAAGATGAATACATATATCTATATGTGTGCATCTATCTATATAAATATATATATTTTTTTTTTTTTTTTTAATTTGGGAGAATGATCCAAAAATGTCAATGCTAATGTCCGTGTTGTCCTAGGATTGCATGTCAATGTCCCTGCCTGACCACAGTGAGTCACATGGAGGGTGGTGTGCACACCCAGATGGACTCATTGATCCTCGTGAAAGGGGAGCCAGAGAGGGCCCAGGTCTGCATCTGCAAAACCAGGCTCAACAAACCACGACCCAGAATTTTTCTCTTGCTAATATATACATACAGTACACAGGGAACATAGCTTACAAAGCCAAATATCAATTTAAATGGTAATATTCTACATGAGAACTTATGTTTGGAAATATGTCAGGCAATTGACCCTACCCTAAATTTTACCCTTATTTTAACATCTAAATTATTGGGTATGATGCAAGTTACACTACAGAATATTTATCCAGAATCTGACCTACTGAGGTATTCTGTTAATACTATATATAAAAATTCAAAATATTTTTTCAAAAGTAGAAAAATAGTACTCTCTAAAAGTATAGCCAGATAGAATTTCCCATATTGAGGAATTTGGCTTTTTCAACAAGCCTTCAGAATCTGAAGTTTGTGGAATCTAAAACCCAGAAGTAGCCAGAAATCGGACAATAAATTGAATGTTTAAGTACCATGAATATAAAAAAAGACTAGAAATATATTTTTAGTCCATTATTTCTAACATCACTTTCTTTGGGTAGTTTCTGATAGAAAAAAATGTATCCTCTGACTGTTAGAACTGTAGATTTTCAGTGTATGTATGTGTACATTCACACACACTATCATTACTGAAGGAATTCTGTAGCCAATTTCAAAGAAGAAATCAAAGGATGATCCCAAATTAGTGTGGAAAGCCGGCAGAGTCCATGCCCCGTTCAGATGCAGCACAGCCAGCTTTAGCGGGCACAGCGTTAGCGAATAGCACCGACTACAACATCGCGCAGCCTCCTACCCTGGGAAAGAATGGAGGACGTTTAACGACGTAAACGTGTCAGCTCAGTTAGTTTGGGGCTGAACTTGCTTACTTGAAAAATCTGGTGCTATGCACACGTATCTGCCTCCCTTTTGTAAATACCACCCCAGTCTTCCCTTCGTTACTGTTCAAATCCAGGCTCCACATTTTAATTGAGTCTTACGTTTTCAAAATTATTTGAAAGTTGTCAAATGAGAAAAACATTTGACAGGTGACGCTTTTGGCATTGGCGGTAAACAGCCTTCCAAACAGGATTCTGGGGTTATGTTATCTTTCTTTTTTTTTTCTCTCTCTCTCTCTGTAAGAGCGGTTTTTGCTGTTGTTTTTTTCTTTAATACAAGTACTATGTAGGAATCATACATTATTGATTTCAAATATCTGATGAAAAAAGAGTGATTAAAGCCCATTCTTTATGGTACAAACTCATTTGGAAAGTGACTGTAACCCCGCCCCCAAAATTGTGTTTCTGTTTTTGGGTGAGGTTTTGTTTTCCCTACTTTTGCATAAATTTAGTCTTTAAAAATAAAACTTAAAACATGCATAGAAAATGGTAAACCCTGCTCAGAAGAAAATGTGGATCATCCTTTGAAATAATCCTACACGAACTTCTCTTCAGTTTTCTCTGTTGGCCGTTCATTTTGGAGAATCGTGGCCAATCGTGTTGGAGAGAAACGCTCTTTTACTCCCTTATTTCTTGTTTTCTTCCTCTTAGTTTTGTTTATATGTTTAAATTGTTAAAATAAACCACGCTGTGTGCTGGTATAATTTGTTTACTGCTTCCTCCATTATGTTTTGAATGTCACACGTTAGTATTCTGTATCATATTCCAAATATTCAGCTCCCCCTCCTATTCCCAGATAGGGAATTACAAAATTGTAGCCCGTCATCTTCTGATTTTTGTCTTTCTTTGGGGGTTGCGGGCATTTTCTTGCTTTAAAACTAAACACCACCATCTTTTTATAAGGTTTTCTAATATGTATTCCCATTTTTTAATACAGGGAAATGCCTCCTGAAAATACCATTTCAACATTTTAAGTGATAAATACTTGTTTTTACTTTATGCTGGTAATTACTATGATACATTAGTACAGTTACCAAGTATTAGCCTGCTGTTTATAGAAGTTGTGTTTCTAAATACCTCGTGAGTATATGGTGTGAAAATACCCATTCGTTTGATAATGTGCAGTAGTCCAGCTTTATTTTTATTTTTCCCACTAGAACTTGAAAGCTGTTATTAGGCTCTGTATCTCAGACCAGGAAAGACAAGAGCAAGCTGTCTTTTTGAGAGGGCCATTGGTCTTTATGGTGAAGTTAGCATGCTGTGCCCCTTCCTGCTTGAGTGCAAGGGTAAGCTTTATTTCAGGACTGAACTTCTCTTTAGCCTAGCAGCTGCATCCCAGCTTCCCTTGACATCCTCAGTACGTGGTGTCTTCTCATGGCCCCTTCCTACTGCCCTCTTCCTCTGGCCTCAGAGTCAGCACATTTGCTGGCTTAGTATGTACGTTTACAAAATCATCAGTGCATGCATTAATGTAGGAGTTTTTATCTCCAATTCACAGAGTCCGAGCACATGTGCTTATACTCTGATATGGTAACAGACTCTTCTGATCAAGTTCTTGCTGCCTTCCCAGAGTTCCTGTTCATTTGGCTAGCTCCTTCCTTTTGTATTTAAAAATTTTCTTTTCAAACGTAGCACTGTGCTAAAACCACTGGAGCAACTGACGGAGCAGTCTGTCAGTGAAGTTCTCCAGGTTTTGCTCCTCATCACAGGGAAGGGCCTGAAGACCAGAAGCGCGCCTTTGGTTGTGCAGGAAGGCTTAGACCAGGTCGCCGTACCGGGCTCCAGTGGTGCCCCACGGATGGGCAGCCCTGCTCCTCAGCCCTCTCTTGGCACTGCTGTGGCTGCCAGTGTCTGAACATATTGCAGGTTGCACCTGCAGAGGGACCCTTGGGACACAAACAAGGGTCAGAACCAAGGGTATTCCTCGGCATGTAAGTCCTGCTCATGTATCCTTCAGGCTGTGCCCTAAACGTGAAATTCCAGCTCCTGCCCCCTTTGGTACTGCATCTTTAAATAAAGGATAAGTCTGATATAGGCAATGTCATACAAGACTAAGCCTATAATCTGATAAACCGTTTGCAGATTTCTTGATGAAGTGCAATGTGCAAAATGTATAGTAACCATTTAAACATACCAATTTTCAAAAATTTGGAATCTGTAGCTTTTTTCTGGTACTATATAGAATCTTAACCCTTTAAATGAGGGAGAGTTTCACATTTTTTAGAAATCTGGGCCAAACCTATTACCAGGGCCACCAAGGACATGCAGCTCTCGGGGGATAAAGGAGAAGTCATCCATGCAGCTGCGTCTTCCAATTCAGACGCCCACGTGGTACAGTTCAGAATTTCTAGACTGAATGTATGGCCTGGAATTTGTCCCAGGCAACTGTAAAGGTCATTTGGCCTATTAAATGAGAGGACCATCTCAATACTATCTTGACATTTTAAGATGATACTTTACCTCTAAAACAGCATAATTTATAATAAGTTATAGTAGATTTATAAGTGTATGACAAAAATTTTAATTTCCAAACATAGCAAATTGATCTCTTAGATACCACGTAAGTTTCCATCTCCCTGAAATCTTCTCCTCTTCCTTCACCAGTGCATTCCTACTCATCCATCAAGACCCAGCTTTCATTTCATGTACTTGTCCCTTTCTGTCACAGTGTAAAGTGATCAGAACTTCCTTTCTAGGCAAAGAGGAATGGCAGAAACTCAGCAAACTGATCGGGAGAGTGATGTTAGATCGTTAGAGTTGGCTTTAATCATTAAATGGAGCCCTGGTAGCTTAGTGGTTGAGTGCTCGGCTGCTAACTGAAAGGTTAGCAGTTCAAACCGACCAGCCGTTCTGCAGCAGAAAGATGTGGCAGTCTGCTTCTGTAAAGATGACAGCCTTGGAAACCCTATGGGGCATTCTACTCTGTCCTATAGGGTCACTAGGAGTTAGAATTGACTCAATGGCAACAGGTTTGGTTTTTTGGGTTTTTAATCATTAAATGAATTTTCAGCACTTTATCATTACTGAGCATTTCACTGTCCATCACCCCTCACTCAGTTGGTCTGGGGCAGAGTGTCAGATCCCTCGCTGTGAGGAGGCAGGACATTCCCCAAGTCGAGCTAGAATTGGCCGCAGACACTAGTTGCTGGCCAGAGTTTTGGTGTTGGGATCTGGCTTCCGCAGACATTGTTCTCTCCTCCTGTTCTTGGGCGATGGCATGTGGGGACCTGGCAGGGCAGCAGCATCAAGAATGAAGATAATTTATGAATATGGAATTTAAACACGATTCCATATTCTGCATCAGTCTTCTCTTGAAGAAAACCTAACAACAGGGATGAGTTCAATTTGTTGAATTTTAACAAAAATTATTTCCAAAGAATAGGAAAATTCTGGGGTAGTGAGACCCTTAATTAAATTAACCAGCTGATCTTAAAAGATAGATTATGACTTGAAAGCCTCACTGTGTTCCCACTGGGACCAGAGTTCTCCGAACAGCCCTTCAACACTAAAAGTTTGTTTTGTTTTGTTTTTCCATCACATCTCATCTGTCCTGCTGTTCTCCAGTCTTCAGTGACTCACTTCTCATGTTTGTCTTAGAGCCATGTTTACCGTCACAGTCTGCCGTCACCTGGACTCCTGTGGCTGTAACCTCAGCGACATGAGTTGTGTGTACTGTTTCATTTCTAGTGAGCCCCTAATATGATGCTGTTAAAAGCAGCAGGAAGTGGTATTTAAAAGCACATGAAATTCCTCATAAAATGTGTAAATAACAACACAATTTTTAAAAACACAAGTGTCCTTCACACTAGCGACCTTGGGAGGAGGCCTTAGTACCCTTTTCCCAGCACGCTGTCATTGTGTTAGGTGTTTTTGGATTTTCTCTGTTGTAATTGCCTTAAGATCCACTTGTAAGGCACACAAGAAAATCAGTCTCCTTGCTGTATAATCTTATCTAGGTTGACATTAAAAATTGCATCGCCCCACTGGATCTTCTACCTTATCAACTTGATTGAGCTCAACTGACTCTGGACTCTTGAGAATTACTTCCCTTCTCGCTCACAAGTGGGAAGAACGGTCACTGCTGAGCGAGAGCCTGTTGGAGTGGCAGGGCCAGGGCAGCTCTGATGGAAGTCTAATCCCTCAAGGTGACCACTTGATGGAGACAGTATTAACCTGTATTTTCTAATAAGTGCCTAGTTTTTAATTGCCTCTCGAGTCGTTTTCCTCCCCTCTTCTTCACTCCTTCCTTCAAGGACAGTCATAAATGTTCATTTCTCGGGCCGCTTCCTGTTCTAATCTCACATTTCAGATATGCAACAGTAAGAGCTAATGTCCTTTTAAGCTAGAAAATACTGGTACACATTTTACTGGACCAGGATGTGGAATGACAATTGATTCCTGTTATACTTCCTTTTTTCCTGTAGCCATAGCGTCTTAAACTCACCAATAACTGAAGCTGTAGTGCAAACAGCAACACATGCTTGGGGCAGGGGCCAGGAGGGTGAGCTGCAGACCATGCCTGCATCTTTGGGATCATCGGCTCTTCATCAGTGATCGAGGGACGGGGAGCAAGAGGGCTTGTCTTACTGCTGCCGCGACTATCCCAGCCCTCAGCCCCAAATAGCTCTCATTTAGAAAATCCTATGGCTGCAGGGGTCCCTTTACTGGCCCCACATAATGGAGGTCTGCATTTGTCAGGGGAGGAACCCCACCCCTCCAAAGGGGAGGTCCTTAATCCACAATGAGCCGCCAGGTGTTTCCAAGGAGAAAGTGCAGTCCCGGATCACATTCCCATCAGAGGCTCTGGGTCACTCGTCTGGATCCTGTTCTTTCATTAACGTGACAAGAGGTGCAGGAACTTCTGGCATGGTCTTCTGACCTATGTCCATTGTACACAACACTTACTCTGACTCACATAAATACAGGACAGGATATAATTCTGTCTTCTAACATCACACTGATTATCAGGAATACGAAGTAAAGGAGGAACATTGTGAAGCCCAGGATCTTGTTCATTCTCCATTTGCAGGATGCAATTGAAGAGATCACAAATAGGAGCATGAAAAAAAGCAAAACAATGGCACAAAACAAACCATTGCTGCTAACTGGAACAGGCAGTAATCCATTGATAAGAGAGAAAAGCAACCAAGGAACAGGCAAGCTGCAAGATTGAAGAAACAATGTGAATAATAATCCCATATACTTAAATGGTAAAGCACTTTTACACACACACACACACACACAAAACCTATGAAGTAGACATCAGAAATTATTAGCCCCATTTAACAGATGAGGAAACTGAGGTTCAAGGAAATTGAATTACTTGCCTAAAGACTCACAGCTAATAACTGGGAAAGACTAGACTAAACGAAGCTATCTGGGTCTGAACTCTCTTTTCTGCACACTTTATGACGTCTGCCTGACTAACCCTGATTTTTACGGCAAGGATAGCATCCCTTTCAATTCTTTTCTGATCAGGGCACCCTCTCCTATGCCCTTTTCACTCCCTTCCGGTCACCTCTTGCCCCTCTCTCCTCCTCCCACACACACATACACAGATTTAAATTAAAGGAACCAAGGCCACCACCCAAATCCAGGACACAACTGGGAAAAAGAAAGTGGCCCAGGTGCTCTGCTGCGACAAGGTGGGGAGGAGGGTCCAAGGGAAAATGAGACATTTGCTTATTTATGCAAAATGCTCTTGAGAGCCTCGGAGCTGGCAAGGGAGGAAATACAGAGGAGAAGGAGTTTCAGGAAGTGAGATTGAGTCACTGCCCCTTTCAACCCCAGCCCTGGAGGGCAGAGCATTTGACTGTATGTGGTAATGGAATTTAATGGACTTCATTTTCAATGCATCTGTAAATTCCAGTCAGTGACATTTCAGGCAGCCTTTCAGTTCTGTTATCCCATCTGGCTGTGATGAATGGAGAAGGGTACTTTGTTGCCTTGCAGAAACTAATGGTGTAAGTGGCCTTTTATCCCCTGCATAATGAATGGAGCAGAAAACGGTGAACAGAGCCAACACACTGGTTTCTAGTCATTCTAAATATGCCTTGGAAAACAACGATGCCACTCACCCCACAGTGATATCAAATATGTTACTGCCCACAGAGCTGGACACAGCCATGTCTCCCAGGCCTTTCCGAGCGACAATCACACTGGTGATGAGGTCAGGAATCGACGTGCCTGCTGCTAGGATTGTCAAACCCATAATCTCTTCAGAAATCCCTATGGTTTCACCAACCTGGTAAACAGCAACAGTAATGAGAAACCATGGCCACAACAGCTTAAAAACCTGAGGCTCTTCAAAGCACCTGCCACATGCACTTTGTGCAGACACAGCACCTTCCAAGGAGCTCACACGCTCCCGCAGCCTGAGGGAGGGAGGCGGATGGGTGGACCTGACCGACGGGCACCAGAGAGAGAATGGGGCCCCAGCTCAAGGCTGCAGAGAACCACACCGCTCTTCTTTCCTCAGCTGAACTAAAAGCCCATCTGTGACATCAGGTTTACCCTTCCTCTCACCGCCATTCCACCAACACCAGCACCTTCCCCAAAGAACTGCCGCTCCAAATTCTCCTCATGTCAGCGTTTCACTTCCAGACACGGCCACCTGCTGTGTGCCGGGAACTGAGAGGCTGGAGATGGATGGATAAGCATAGGGCACATCCCTACCCGTGGCCCAGTGAGGAAGAGACGCTTGTGAACAGCAATCCACCTCTGTGCTAAGGTGCTCCGGGTAGAACAGAGAGGCCATGGGTGCTCAGAGGAGGACTGAGTCTGCAGGAGGTTGTGGGGAAGGGAGGGCCATGCTGGGCTGACTCTGGGACAGTGTTTAGGATTTCACCAGGTGGAGGGGGTGGGGGATCTATGGCAGAGAAAACAGGGAATAAGGCTAGAAATGGTCAGCCAGGACCAGGTCATGAAAGGCTTCCTGTGCCATGCTCCAGTGTAAACATAAGACACACCTGGAAAGCACCACATTCGTTGGAATAAAAAGTCTATTTTTAAGCCTTTACAAGCAATGTAGAGACTGTACAAATTTCACTTGGCCTTTCGCATTCCCTGGGTACTGGCAATTCATCCTGAAGGGGGAAACATGCTCTCGGGCTGTGCTGATGCCAACTGTACTTCCTGCTGTCCACTCACCTGGTGCGCCCACCACACCATGAGGTATGAGAACACGGCTATCCACGTGATGGATCCCAGGAAGGCGAGAACAAAAAACTGCCTAGACTCCTGTTTGAAAATTCGAAAAGGAAGAGAAGTTGCAGAGGCTAAAGTTCTTCGGCCCTTTGAAGGGAGCCCCCAAATCAGTGACGAGGTCTGATGGAGAGGCTCTGGAGACATGGGAGCTGAGGGCTCTGTCTCCAGGGACGACCTTGAGATGGATGGGAAAAAACAGGGCTCGGGGCCTGCAGGGGCGTCCCGCCAGGAGGCTGGGTTAGGAATAGCCAAACTGAAGAGCTATTTGCTTGCCCTAGAACCATCTAGGTATTTTTTTCTGCAACCTCCCAGGCCCCTCTGCAGACTCAGAGGCAGAATATGAACTGCCCTTGGGTGAAGTAGGTTAGGCAGACCTTCCCCACAGACAGGAATACTGGGTAGAAAGAGCAGTTAGCACCTTGGGTTTTCAAAATATCCCTGTGAAATACGGAGGCATCCTTCCCATATTAAAATCAAGAAACTGAGAAAGGGACCACGTTCACACTGTTTATAGTGGTGGAAATAAGGGATACTTAAAGTCTGGGGCCTCCAGGCCCAGGGGCATGTCCCCCAGGCACGCGGTCCCTTCAGAGCAGGAACTCCATCCCAGATTGCTGCCAAGCTGGCTTGCCCTGGCCTGTCCCTCTGGAGCGGGAGCCCTGGGTGTCTACAGGCCCCACCAGCCTTCCGGGGATGCGCAGCCTCAGTGCAGCTGGGCACACTCACCAGCCTGCGGACGTCAGGCACCGTCAGCCACAGCGGGACAACGATGGGCAGGAGGAAGAGGTAGATGGCCTGCTTCTGCCTGGTCTCTGGCCACTCCAAGGACAGAGGCGCCTCATTTTCCTCCGCCTCTTCCTCCTCTTCGTCCTCCTCCTCCTCCTCCTCGTCTCTGTTGCCTCCCTCGTCCCCATCCGCGCCTGTCTCATCCCCTTCGGTTCCAGCGCTGGACTCCTGGCCTTCGCTTGCACCTCCATCACCTTTCCTTGCCTGGATATCACCGTCGCTTCCACGGTCTGCTGGCCTTTCTGCTTCGGTTCCACTTTCGAGTTGAGTTTCACCTCCACTTGGCTCTCCAGTTTCTCCTTCACCAGGAGTTTCACCCTCTCCACCTGTCCTTTCACCTGTGCTCTTGGCTTCAGCCACATCTCGTTCCTGCAAGCCCAAACCAACGGATTAATGTGTGATCAGTGCTCGGCTTGTTTCCCCTCCCAAGTTCTCTCCCATTTTTTATTGTTGTTGTTCTTAGGCTGTATCTGAAAACCTGAGTATGAGGAGAATACTTGTGCCGTCATTCAGCAAAATTCCCTCTTCCACTTCCCTCCCCAGTGGTCATCCAGTCCTTATTTGATGATTTCCAGGAATGGAGAACCACCGGCTTCTGTCACTGTTGACAGCTCTGACTGAAGTCCATGTTTACATCAAGTTTCCACCCGCTGAGTATAGGTTTACTCTTTGGAGCCACACAGAACATGTCTAATCACTCTTCCACAAAATAGCTCTCCTCCCTGAATGTGACATTCCCAGGTCTTTCTATCATTCTCCCACGTCATGGCCTACAGCCTCCTCACCATCTTGGTGAACTCATCCTAATTAGCTTCTGTCCCATGAGGAGAGCCCCAGAACTGAACACAGAACACCTGTAGAGTGTGCAGCAGGACTATCACCTCCATGACTGTTACCTCATACGGCGCGATATCTTTTGATGGTCACATCACATTTCTGATCTACTGAAACTCTTAAATTGTTTTCTTATATGAATTACCTTATATAAATGAAATAATGATTAGGATAATACCTATTTATTCAGGGTTTTTATGTGCCAGGCACCATTCTAAATAGTTTAAGAATAATAATAGCTACTGCTTACTAAGTTCCATGAGTCAACTAACTCATGCTATAGATAAGAATTATACTCATCTTGTAGATGCAGAAACTGGGGTACAGAGAAGTTAAATAACTTGCCTGTGGTCCACATAGTTTGTAGGTGATGAAGCTGGATTTGAACATGGATAGTCCAACTCTCTGCCTCTTAACCACTAAGCTACCTTACTTTGCAAATGCTGGGACTGAATGAGATCTCTGGTTCGCAAAGCTGGTAACCTGGGGATCTTATTAGGAATACAGATTTCTTGGCTCTACCTGGCCCAACTGAATTAGGATCTCTGGGATTGGAAGCCAGGAGTCCGTATTTTAATATGTTCACAAGCGCTCCTAACACATTCATCTGCATACCACTGTGTGGGAACCACAGGCTGACTCCATGTATTCTAAAAGCCATTGATTCTAAGCTTCCTTAGATTAGGCACCCAAACTAACCTATAACAACGTGCTGGTCCAGTGCATTGAGCAAATGACCTGAGCTGGGTGCTCATGGAGTGAGTCTGTCCCCTGAAATAAATTTCATGATGTAGGCAAGCCCTCCCTGCAAGGATGTTCAGTGATTCTCAACCCTGCTGCATATTAAAATCATCTGGAGGCTCTTAAGAAACATTGATGCCCAAGTCCCCACTCAGATAGTCTGATTTAATTGGTTAAGAGTGGGGCCTGGGGATTTTTTCCCCTTTTTTACTGTGGTAAATATCTGGGCAATTTCTTTAAGCGACCCCTGATGAAGAAGCCAAATATTAATATTAAGTGAGCTTGTCGGGAGCAAAGAAGAGTGAAGAAAACCAAAGACTCAAGCAAACAATTAGTCTAAAGGACTAACGGACTACATGAACCATGGCCTCCACTAGTCTGAGGCCAGAAGAACTAGATGGTGCCCGGCTACCACTACCAACTCCTCTGACAGGAACCACAATAGAAGGTCATGGACAGAGTAGGAGAAAAATTCAGATTCATAAAAAAGACAAGACTTACTGGTCTAACAGAGACTGGTGGAACCTGAGACTATGGCCCTTAGACACCCTTCAAACTGGGAACTGTAATCACCCCCAGAGATCACATTACAGCCATACAATAGACAGGCCTATAAAATGAAGAATAATACCAGTGAAGAATGAACACCTCCGAAAAATCAACTATATGAGACCTAAAGGGCACCATTTGCCCAAACGCAAAGTTCAGAAGGAAGGTAGGGGCAGAAACCTGGGTGAATGGACACGGGGAACCCAGGCAGGAAGAGGGGAGAGTGCTGACACATTCAGGGCTTTGCAACCAATGTCACAAAACAAGCTGTTTATAAATTGTTGATTGAGAAACTAATTTGCTCTGTAAGCTTTCACCTAAACCACAATAAAATATTAAAATATATATTTATGTATATATATTATATATTGGGAATTGGGAATGAAGAGGGAGACAGGAGATTTTAGTCTGGATTCATTCCTGCCCTACTCTCCCCCACGAGGGAAAGAAGGTTTCCTGGGGGAAACGACAAGTCATTTAAATTGATAGGTAGGAGAGTGCCTATCCAGCCTGCACAGTCTTCTCTGAGAATGCCACCCCTAGTAGCCCCAACTCAATAGCATCTCTCTTCTTCCATGTTGGAGTCAAGGCACCTATCTCTCCCTGCCACAGCTGATTGGATCCAGGCTGGATCTGACCCGTGGCCTGGGTTGAACAGATTCTGTCTCTTCTGAGACTAGGAGCCAGTCACTGGTTGATGGCCATGTGGACTGGAGGACTGGGGTGGTGGTGTGGGGTTCGGTGTGCTAATAAGGAAACGAATGGAGCCAGGCTGTCCAGAGAGCCTAAGTTATAGAGCTGACACAGACAGAGAAAGGGATGTGAGGGTGACGCCACCAGGGTCACAGATACCTTTTCAGGCCTGGGCCCAGCTCCTCGTGAGACCAAGCTTCACCTCCTGCCCTGGGATTCCAGGAGATAACCGCTGTATTTATTCTTTTAATCCCTTTTACTTGAGCTGGCTGTAATGGGCCTACTCGGGACAAGATGATACCATGGAGATGTCTTAGACACTGAACCCAAAGTTGCTGGATCAAGGATGAAATATAACTGAGCACTTCTGGATGTCAAATAAGATAAACAAACAAACAAACAACACGGGGTGGAACCCGCAAACTGCGTGCTTATTTGCTGTCAGTCACCCAACCCTAACTGAGCACAGCCACGTGCCAGGCACGCGTTTCTCTCTACAGGGAAGAAAGAGATGACTCAGATCCTGCTGTCGTGAACCTCACCAACTAGGAGGGGAACAAAGTTGTTGTGTGCTGTCAAGTAGACTGTGACTCCTAGTGGCCCTATAGGACAGAGTAGAAAGGCCACATAGGGTTTCCATGGCTGTAATCTTTACGGAAACAGACTGCCACATCTTTCTCCTGAGGAGTGGCAGGTGGGTTCAAACCACTGACTTTTCAGTTAACAGCTGAGCACTTTAACCACCGTGCCACCCAAGCTCCTTAGGAGAACTAAGAGAAACTCATGAATGGAGTACAAGGAAGGCAGTGATAAGCACCCTGAGAGGGTTCACAATACCACAGGCACTTGGGTGGGGGGATCAGAGAAGGCTTCATGGCAAAAGAGGCGTTTACTCTGGGCCTGGAGGGTGGGTGAAATTAGGATCAGTGAAGATGGAGGGGAAAAAGGCAACCTAGAAAACCAAACCAAACCCATTGCCGTCGAGTCGATTCCAACTCATAGCAACAGGGTGAGCCAATCATGTGAGCCAAGCCACGGAGGCAGAAAAACACGGAGACATGCTTTTAAGTGGAGCATCGTAGAAGAGGTTGTGGGTCTGTAGAGAAGTCAGGTCTCACTCAGAAGGCCTGTGTACCAGACCAAGGAGCCTGGGCCAGGTGCAGGCAACGGGGAATCTTGGACGGTTACGAGGTCTTTACCCAGCTCTCCTTCCACCTGGATTTCAAGCTACCTGGCTCACTGTCCCCTAGGAGCTTACAGACCCACTAACAATGTTTCTCTATGTTTTTAGAGGATGTGACAGTTCACAACACTTTCTCATATACAGTAACGCATTCATCCTAAGGTGTCATGGTGAATTCGCTGGCCCCATGGGTATTTCTATTGTTAAAGTGATCTTCAGAGAAAAGGCAACGTTTTCCCCAGACTAATGAATCTCAAATAGGATTTCAGACCTTCAGGAAGGAAGTATTTTGGGACAGCAGGGCCTCCATCCGTGCAGAGGGCAGCCAGGCTGGGTGCCTACCTGGCTGTCTGGATTGTCCTCCGGATCTCCACTGACGTCTGGAGCAGGGGCTGGAGTGTGCGTGCCCGCAGGGAGCTCAGCTGGCTCCTCCTCTTTAAAGGATAAACATGGGATAGGTCAGAAGAGAGTACCAGGATGTGAGCAACGGGTGGGGGTGCTAGTGTGAGCCACGATAGGGCTCTTGGACTTGGATCACTTCAGGACGTCAGTGGGTTGGTTTGGGGATTCCTTGTTGGTAGGTAAAGTAAAATGATACGATGTGAGCTGCTACTGCCCTGTCCACTGCGATGTCGCGGATGAGAGGAGGCGGCCGTCCTTGCCAGCCCTGTATTCACAGACATCTCCATCCTGGCCAGTGTGGCCACGAAGACTGTGAACAATTTGAGCGACTAGAGCAGAGAGAAGGAAAAACTCCCAGCCCTCAGCATCTGACCCTTTGTCCTACCAACCTCATGGAAAGGATCCTGCTGATTTCAAAGGCAGCAGGTGTGAAGCCTGGGAACACGATTGGGAGGCAGGCGGGGGGCAGGGGGGAGGCGTGGAAAGTCTAGAGAGCTGGGTTTAGGTTCTCGCCCTCTCACATCATGGCTGTGTGGCTTTGGGCGAGTCACTTGACTCAGCCTCGGTTTCCTTGTCTGTCGGATGGGAACGGTCCTGTTCTGCCTCCTCCGGGGGCTGCTGGGTCGATCAGGCAGGCCTCAGGCACCGTGCAGAGCCCACGTGTCAGCAGATCTCCCACTGCCCCAGTCCCTGTTGCCACAGAGATGCTGGACCTCTGTGTCACCAGACCCCTGGTGGCCCTCCCTCACTGGAGTTGCTGGTCTAGACCATCACTAGCAGTACTGTCCTTGCATAGAAGTGACAGGAAGGAGAAAGAACGTGCCCATTCCCGGTGGAGTCTCATTTGGGATGAGATTTGGCAAAAAAAGGCGTGGCAGGTCAACAACTTATGGCCCTCCCTCGCCCGCCCCAGCCGGGGAGGGCGTGCCGGGGCCTCCTTCCCTCGCCCGCCCCACCTGGGGAGGGCGCACAGGGAGTTGTATGGGGCTGCCCTCAGGCCAGCAGTCATGTCAGAAAGGGATACCGTGGAAGGAGGAGGCGGGAGGGCAGTGGAGTGCAGGGCAGCATGGGGCAGGGTGGACATGCCAGCATCGGGACCGTCACTCTGGCTGCCTGGCTCAGAGAGACCCAGAGGCGTGCCTCAGTCCTGGCCTGGGTGGGCTGCTGTCTCCAAGCCAGGCTTGCTCCTGACCCGGGGTTGGTAGCAGGAGAAAACCCTCTGGCCTGGCCATCCTCTCACCTTCTGATTTGCTTTCTGCTTTGATCTGGGGCTTGGCTCTGGCCTCCTGATTCAAGCTCTCCTCCTCCTTGTCCTTGGAGGGGCGGGCTGCAAAACAGAAAGGAAACACATCTTGTCTGGGACCACAATATTGTTCCTGCCACCCCTTTTCAGTTGGGATGGTCAGCTGAGCAGCCAGAGCAGCCGTAGTGGGTGGGAAGAACCTGGCCTGGGAGTGGGGATGCCTGGATTCCGGTCCTACTAGGCCTGTTGATGGTGCCCAATTCCCAAAATTTTGTCTTAAATTCCCTGCACTGTCACTGACTGGCTGTGACCTTGGGCAAGTCACTTCCCTTCTCTAGGCCTGTTTTCTCTCTGGTAAAATGGTTGGACTCCGGGGCAACGACTAGGATTTATTTCCTTTATCAGCTCAAGTGATGGCTACTGAATTGAGAAGGATTCTGACTCAGGCTTAGTAGGAAAGTGCCATATTGACCAGTGATGTCTGTGATGAGCAGGCAGTAGGGAAATAATGGCAGGGAGACATGTATGTGCCCACCTTGGACTAGATTATGTGTAAGGTCCTTTGCGGCTTAGACTTCCTAGGAATCTACTAGAAGCTTTGCTACAGCTCCAAGGAGACTCCTGGTGGCCATGCTCCTGAACCTTCTCTCTCCAGTTGAAAAGGGGAAATCACTGACCAACCATCTCCCTGCCATACCCTTTCTGGCCCCAGACACCTGCAGCCCAAGCAGGGCCTCCTCCAAATCCCCGTGCACCTGCTTTGCTGGAGGCCCACATGGCAGAGTGTGCAGAATGGGGCCGCCCTGGTTTTCAGGCAAGAAGAACGATGAGGGGGCAACTCTTTGCAATGACACTGTGCCTGGCAACACGCAAAGCGATCTACACATGTCATTTCAAGGTAGGAGAGGATGACGGGTCAGAGACTGAGGTCCAGGGGCTCATGACCGTCCTCCTCACAGCTCGGGAGGGAGGCCGTGGCACAAGCGATGGAACGAAGTGGCTGCATGGGATCCATTGTGGATTCCTGTCTGTCTCTGCCCGAGAGCACTGGGTGACCTCGGGGAGCCTGTGGACCTTCTCTAAGCCTCAGTGTCCTCTCTCTAGAAGGCAGCAAACTCCAGGACATACGCAGAGCACTGATATGAGGGTCCATGAGACAAAATACACAAATGCTTTAATTGCTGCAAGTGCCAGCCTCACGCATATTGTTACATTAGCACCAATTTTGGAGCCAGACGGCCTGGGCTTAAATCTTAGTTCCACCGCCTGCTAGCTGCAGACCAAGCTGTGTGAGTCCTTCACTTCTCTGTACCTCAGATTCTTCATCTGTAACACCTTACAAAGTCGTTGTGAGGAGGAAATGAATTCATGCGGGAACCTGCTTAAAACAGTGCCTGGTACCTAGAAAGCACCATATAAGTTTCAGCTATAACAACAAGGACAATGATGATAAGTTGACAGTGGTAGTTGAGAGCTTCAGTGAAAGAGAGGAAG